GGGTTCCTCCCATACTGGGCTGAGTGTGGCTGCCTCCTCCCTCCTGAAATACAGATAATTCCTCCCTGACAGACACCCTGATCTTTGCTTCCACCACAGGCCTGGACCGAAATGGTGTGCCTCCCTCTGCCAGAGGGGGGCCCCTGCCCCTGGAAATCACATCTGGAGGGGGCTCCCAGCGGCCTCCCCGGGGTCCTCCATCCTCAACCCTGGGGTCCAGTAGACGTCCCCGGGCACGGCCACCCTCAGAGCACAACACAGAATTCCTCAATGTGCCTGACCAGGGTGTGGCAGGGTAGGTGGGGTGGGAGGGCAGCCCCAGGAGGTGGGCAGAGGTAAGGGAGTGTCTGGTGCTGTGATGAGCACCCCCTTGTCTCCCCAGCATGCAGAGGAAGCGCAGCGTTGGGCAGAGACCTGTGCCTGGTGTGGGCCGACCCAAGCCCCAACCACGTGTACATGGCCCAAGGTGCCGGGCACTATACCAGTACATAGGCCAAGATGTCGATGAGTTGAGCTTCAATGTGAATGAGGTCATCGAGATCCTCATGGAAGGTGTGTGCACCAGGGCAGAGGTTGGGGTATGGCATGGTCAGAACCCTGACACCACCAGGCTGCCCCCCATTGTTGCACATCCTTCCCATCCATGTGAAAACAGAAGCCACTAGCTTACAGCTCTGAGCAACACCTTCCATGCCAGTGGCATGGCTGCACGGGCTGGAGCGCACTGGCTGTGAAGGTCAGTTCCTAAGCCACCTCGGGGTTCTGGCCTCACTGCATCACACCTGGTCCCTGACCCTCATTTTTCTTACTTGTCACATATTTCTAGTAGCAGAACCTACTTTAAAGGGGAAAGAAGCTGCATCTGGAGGGCCCAAGCCCCTCCTACCTTAATTCCCTGGGCTGCCTCCAGCAGAGCCTAGGACTTAGGACACACTCTACAGACAGATGTGGGAGCCTCCTGGAATCTCAGAGACCTGTTCATTCCTGGGTTCACTCTGGGGGTTGGAGGAAGGAGCCTGTTGAAGGCGATGGATAAGGGATGAGCACAAGAAATGGTTTAAAAAATGACAGGGCTGGGGGTATGGCTCAGTGGTAGAGCGCTTGCCTACCATGAGCAAGGCCCTGGGTTCCATCCCCATCACCACAAGAAAGAAAAAGGGAAGAAAGAAAGAAAATGACTATGTGAGCCAGTGGTTAGGAAAGACATTCCTCCCTCCTTCCTTTCTTTCCATTATTAACAACTCTCCCTTGTGTCAAATCAAGGATGCAGAGATAAGTAAGACACAGAACTGGCATGGGGGTTCTCTCCAGGGTAGCTGGGCATCACCCCAAGCTCTCTTCTCTCACACAGATTCTTCAGGTTGGTGGAAGGGCCGCCTACATGGCCAGGAGGGTCTTTTCCCCGGAAACTACGTGGAGAAGATCTGAGCCGGGAGCCTGGGATTGTGTCCTCCACCTGCTCGCCTGTCTGTCAGGATACAGGCTGTGCCAGCAGAGTCTGGATTGCTTTGGCTGCATTGGCCAGAAAGTCCAGTTCCGTGGCCTCCATCCCAGCCCAGACTGTGGGTCTGAAGAGTCACTGCTGCAGCAACCCTCCTAGGCTCTGGCCTCCTTCCTGTCACACCTGCTGCCAAAGTCTGTATTTCTTCTTGTATCAAACACGGCTAACAGCAGAACCTACCTCCTAGCTGCCTTATGTTTATGAAATGAATGTCCTAGGCTGTTGACCAAATGCCGGGCATAGTCCAGGGTGAAGGGGCCTTGACAAGTGGGACTTCCCCCTTCTCTCATCATAGGCAATAAATATGTGCCTGGTGAAAGAGTGAATTAAAATCATTGAGTATCCACAAGGACTGTGTTCTCACAACCCTGTGAGGTGGGAGCAGTGAATGCCCCCACTTTGCAGGTAGACAAATAGAGGCTCAGAGAGGTTCAGCCTCTTATCCAAGACTCAACAGAGCCCCTCTCACCAAAGGTTGAATTTGTCCCACTTTCCTTTCCAGAAATTGCATCCTAAATGATCCAACAGATGCTGTCAACCTCTAAATCTGCAGCCCTCAAACTCATCTGGAACCTCAGTAAACCGTCAGGCAGGAGGCAGGTTCCACATGGTTCCCTGCAAGCCACCCTGGGTCACCCCTGGCCCCTGCCCCACCATCCTATATATATGCTCTCTTAGTCTTTATTCACCTGGGGTCAGGACCAGTTCTGACATTCTGACATCCTGATGGATTCTGAGTATTCCAGGGCTCCCTGTTGGGGCAGCTGTAACTGGCAGGGAGACCTGCTACTGCGTGAGCCTAAAGATCCAGGCTTTCCATTCTGGACACCCCCTCTGTCCTCAGCCCCTCAAGGAGCAGCCAGTCTGGGAGGAACATGGACAGACTGATGGATTCAGTACAGAGGAGACACAGATGGCATTGCTGGAGGAGCCCGGAAGGCTGAAGAGGGTTGGTCTCAGTAGATCCTGGCTACAAGCATGACACTGTTCTAAGCCATGACAAGGACATTCCAGGCAGTGGACACCTGAACCACTGGAGAATAAAGGATGAGACATCCAAGAAAGAATGTCCAACAGAGAAGATCCCTACCTTCTCTCTTCTGCATTTACCTTGGGAAGCCAAGCTGGGCTGGGAAAAAAAAAAAAAAAAAAGATCACAAGGCTGCAAACGGGTCTCAACAGCCCTATTATTGGTCAATCATTCTGCAAAAGCATTTAATAATCCCTTGAATGTCTCTGCTCCACTCCATCTCTGAGATTCTTTATTCCAGCACAACCACCACTATGTGCTTGCCTGTCTGTAAGACCTTGGTGTGAGGACAGGCTGGAAGAGGACTGTGTCACTCATCAGCATCTTGGGTTGGGCATTTCCTGAGCACAAAAGAAGAATCAGGGCTTTATCTCCCTTCTCTGCCCTCAAACTTATCATGTAGGCTGCCCTCCCTTCTGGCACTTTGAGGTTCAGCCCTATGGTCCCACTGCCATTGAGGGTACCCCATTTTCAGGAAGTAAGGCCTTCTGGGCAGAATGGATGGATAAGGGTTGGGCAGGACATTAGTGATGGAGAAGCAGGTGAGTGTGGTATATTTTAACAGACAGCATCTCATATCTAGGTTACAAGAATCTTCAGGCTGCAAACCTCAATCACCTTGGCCGCACCCGCTGCTCAATGCCACATCCTGTGGACTCTCACAAAATTTCTTAATTTGGGTCCCTCCTCTGAGTTCCTTGGGGCCCAGTCCCTTCTGAGGCCTCCCCCCATCCTTCCTCAGATTATATCACCCTCCCCCAGAGTGCAAGTGCAACATCCCTCTCCACCTGGCACCAAAATGACTTTTTGTTTTCTTAAAACTTAATGAATTTTTATCTGAATGGTAATTAAAAGAAAAAATTTATTAAAATAGCATCAAAGTGTGAAAAGTCAATCCCTTAAAAATTCCTACTCCCCACCTCAGAATTTTGGGGGGGGTTGTTGTTGTTTTCAGTGCTGAGGATCAAACCCAAGGCCTTGAGCATGCTAAGCAAGCACTCTTCTACTGAGCAACACCCCAGCCCTGTTTGTTGCTTTTGTTTGCTGGTGCTGAGGATTGAACCAGGGCCTGGAATATACTAGGCACATGCTCCTTTCCCGTTTTTTTTTTTTGTTTTGTTTTGTTTTGTTGGTTTGTTTTCAGGTACTATGGATTGAACCCAGGGATGCTCGGCCACTGAGCTACATTCCCAACCATTCTTATTTTTTATTTTAAGACAGAGTCTGCCAAGTTGCTCAGGCTGGCTTTGAACTTGGCTACAAAAGCATTTAACAATTCTTTGACTATTTCTGGTCCTCTCCCAGGTATGACACATCTATAATCCCAGTGTCTGGGATTACAGATGTGTCATACCTGGCTCCTCCCATTTTCAAATACCTCCTATTATCTTCCCTGCATATAAAAGCACAGAAGCACATCTTGTTTTACACATATAGAAATACACTGCATATAAAGTCCACACTTGCCTGAGACTCAACACTTCTCGGACTGAATGATGTATTGTAGAGATTTGCAATTAAGGGTCTATTTTACTCTCTGGCCTAAAAACTCATCTTCCAAATGATCATCAGGGATCAAATGTTGTACCTCCTTCCGCTACAAATTCATCAGTGATTTTACTACAAATCATAATCGAGGGCCTGCAAGCCCCATCCTGCACCATATTCACTTTCTGACCCCTATATGCTGCCCTCATTCTGCTCCAGCAGTGCAAAGGGATTCTATTTCTTGATAAACAAGCTTATCCCTCCCCATCACAGGACATTTGTACCAGCTTCCCTGAGCACAGTACTTACTTGACCTTCCATTCACTCCTTCTTGACCAGCAGGTGACAACTCAGAAGTCACCACCTCATCACTGTGACAACCTTCTGTTTTATTTGTTTTCTTCTTTGGGCTGAATAGAACCCAAGATCAGTTTCTCCATTTGACTACTTCCCCATTTTAAGGTTTGAGTTCTGGAGCAGGGATTCTTGTCTGTCCCATTCACACCTGGATCCCCAACGCATAGATGGGTACCTAGCACAAAGAAAGATGGACAAAATCCACTCCACACCAGTGCACACTGGGCTCCGCATACTTACTCCAGGAACCACACCTCGCCACCCTGAGGTTTCATCCCTTTATTAAGCCTAAAGACCAAAAATCAGCTTCCTTCCTGCACTTGGCTATTACTTCAATTATTGAACTAGGTGCACTGAAAAACTTCATTACTGTTGCCAATTTTCTCCAAGAAGGACCAATTAAAAGAAAAACTGTTGTTTATCGCCTTTGGAGGGCTGACGATGGAACAGGCCAAAAGGGCATGAAGTTGCTCATTTTGCAAACGATCGGAGAGCTTCCTCACGCCGGATCTCTGTACTTTGCCCCAGCCTTTGGCTCATAAATCGGCCAGCACTAGTCCACGCGACGGTCTAGGACTCGAGCCTCAGGCCCCGCCCACTGGAGGACAGCACCGAGCAGGCTCCGCCCTTCTCTCGCGAGAGCTGAGAGGCGGAAAATGGCGCCGACATGAATGCGAACCCGCATTGCCGAGAAAGTAGCCGCCTCCTGAGTTGGAGCCGCCGGAGCCGCATGAACCAGAGATCGAGCAGTCGAGGATGGTGAGCGCAGCGCCGGGGGAGAGGGCGCGGTACCGCAGCGAGGACTGGCAGGGAGCGATCCAGTCGCATACACACCCTCCGACCGACCCCGCCCTCACATCCGGGCACCCGCTCGCCGCTGGCTGTGGCTAGGCAAGCCCCCTGCCCCTACTTCCGGGCCTGGCCTCGGGTAGGCCACGCCCATCAGGCTCGGGCTCCTCCCGAGAGCCTCACACAGCGGGGCCCTGAGCGCCTCGAAGTTCAGCCACACAGCTGTAACCTGGCCAGGATATCCCCGTCATGCACAGTTCACTTCTGGAAACTCCAGCATCTTCCTAGCCGCGTCCTGTCCAGAGCCCCGACTTCATAGCTTTGCCTCCGCTCGCTCACTCTAATCTACCATCGACCTCTTAGGGCGCCTCCCACCTGTCGGAGCTGGAGACGCGGAGATGGTTCTCTTTAAGCGTAGCTTCCGACAGAGGCTGGATCTCGGTCCACTCTTGCCTCCTTACCCTCTCTTGCTGATGATGTCCTAGAATGGGGCGGGTGGATAGTTTTGCGGGGTCTGGAATTCAGGAATGTTAAGCCTAGTGGTTCTTTCAGGGTGGGAGGGGCTTCCCTGCTGGCCCAGAGAAACCTGAGTACAGACTAGTTCTCTTCTACCAGGAGGAGGAACCGTCCGTGCCCAGCCCAGACTTGTTAGCCACTGCAGAGCCCAACTCCAGTGTGACCGACCAGGAGGTGGTGTCCCCAGTTGTGGCTGAGGCAACCACTTCTTCCTCCATGGAGGAGGAGCCAGACCCTAATGGGACAGCCACACCCCCAGTTTGGGAACGTGGAGGGTTTGGAGGTACACAGCAGGGTGCCTCCCCAGCCCCAGACAGCTGCCAGACAGGCCCTGGACCCAGCCCTGTTTCGGGGACCAATGAGGACCTGCGGCCTCCCAGGCGACGCCCACCACCAGGTGACCTGTGATGGGGCCTACTGGGGGGTGTCACAACACAGGTCCCACATCAGGAAATGGGGAGTGCGGTATATGGCCAAACTAGGGGACATCCACAGGGATTTCTGTCGCCATTTACTGAGCACCAAGTGTATGCCGGTCTTTGGCTTCAATGAGGAACCAGATCAATCCAGCCCAGTACCCTTTGGCAGCTCATTCCTGTGGGGAACTTGCATAGTCCTGGGGGCCAGGGGCAGGCAGCATTCATGAGGAAGGGATCTGTGACCCTCACTCTGTATCCTGCAGGGAAACAAATACCCTGCTCTAGCCCTGGCTGCTGCCTCAGTTTCCCCAGTGTTCGTGACCTGGCACAGCATCTTCGTACCCACTGCCCGCCCACACAGTCCCTAGAAGGTAGGACCAAGGCAGATGGTGGGGAAGCAGGTTAGAGTGGGAAGCAAGCATTGCCCCCGTGGGCCAGCCTTGGCCACCCCACTCTTCCACTCTGCCCTTTGTCCCTGCCAGGCAAGCTCTTCCTCTGCTCAGCCCTCAGCTGCACCGAGAGCTTCCCCAGCATGCAGGAGCTGGTGGCGCACGGCAAGCTGCATTACAAGCCTAATCGCTACTTCAAGTGAGCTCCTGACCAGCCTGCCCTACCTCACCTTATGTGTGGGGTCCAAACCTTTTTCTATGGGGGTAGCGGAGGAGGGAGGCGGGGGGGGGGGGGAGTGGGCGTGGTCTCAGGCAAGAAGCGTGACCACCACTCTGTGTCTGGACTTACATGGGTGTAGGTCTGCCCAGCTCCTCTTCACCTCCCAAGTAGAAAACCAGCCTACTGAGTTAAAATTGAGACTTCCTTCTGCGTTGTCCCATAACTAACTCCAAACTGGGAGGGATCCAGAATGGTCACAATCCCCATAGGGGATTGGGGCAAGCTCCTTCTCCACAGGTTGAGTGCCATCCAAGGTTTGGGACCTGGCTCCCTTCCACGTTCGCAGAACAGGTCCCCTGGTAGCAACGGTTGGCTTCCTTCTTATTGCTTGAGAGACAGCACAGCCCTGTGCCCGCCCCCCAGGTGTGAGAACTGCCTCCTTCGCTTCCGCACCCACCGCTCACTCTTCAAGCATCTGCATGTTTGTGCAGAGCATGCTCAGAGCCCAGCCCCACCACCACCCCCTGCCCTGGACAAAGAGCCACCTGCGCCCGAGCGTCCCCTGGAGTCCGACCCTTCTTCTGCGCCGGGCTTGCAATTTCCGCTGCTCGAGCCCTTCACAACCCCACCCTCTGCCTCCACTGGGCCCTTTCTACCGTACTTGAACCCCGCGCCTTTTGGCCTAAGTCCTCCACGCCTGCGCCCCTTCCTGGCTGCTGCTCCAGGGCCACCAACTTCCAGCACAGCTGTCTGGAAAAAGAGCCAAGGTGAGTGTAGGGGCGGGCGGGGCCTCCCAAAGAACTGGCTGGGTTTGCCCTAACTCTGAATTTACCTGCCTCTTTCCTGTAGGTGCGGGCGGCAGCCCCCGAAGACCTCAGGGTGGCTCCGATGCGCCCTCAGGTGCGTGCAGGTGACCATCGGGGCCGGGTGGAGGGGCTTTCTTGCGCTCTGCCGGGCCCTGTGGATTCTGGGGGGCAGCAGTGCCCGTCCCTTTCCCAGGTGGCTAGAAGTGTCACCCCTTAAAATATATGATTTTGCCTTTAAAATTACTGGCACCTGCGCCTTAATCTGCGCCGGCGTTCCTGTGTAAAACTCGCGCCCCGTTCACCTGTGAGCGGTCTTCTCGGCCCCCCCCCCCCCGCCCCAATCCCCTGCGATGGTTCGAGGATGGGAATAAGGGATTCAAATAAGCCAAGTTTAACGCCCTCAGTGAGGGGCAAACAAGCCCAGGAGAAACTGATCCTGCCATGCCCGACCCTGGGCTTCCTGGAGCTGGGGAAAGGTCCAGCCTTCCCTCGCCCGCCTCCACCACCATTAGAGGACGGGTCCTCGGGTTTGGGGCCCGGGTCTGATGGGGTCCCGCCTGCCTGCCCGCAGGGCATGCGGCCCCGAGCCGCATCGTGTGGGAGCACACGCGCGGCCGCTACTCGTGCATGCAGTGCGCCTTCTCCACGGCCTCGCGGCCCGCCATGACACTGCATCTGCAGGATCACCGCACCAGCGGCCCCGCAGCCCCTGCGCCTGGGCCGCCACGCCCCGACGCCCCGGCGGGTAAGGCGGAGGAATACGCGAGTGGAGAGGGCGGGGAACCAGAGGCTAAGGGCGAGGCCAAGGCTCAGGCGCTCCCTCCTCTGCCTCTACCAGACCCGACCCCGCTTGCATCTAAAGTGTCACCGCTGCTGTCAGAGGGGGAACTTCCGGTTTTCTCACCTCTTTGAACCCCGCTGCTTTGGGAGTGGGCGGTGGGGTGTGGAGATTTTTGTAATTTTAAGGGGAACAATAAAGAAGGCGCGATGAGCCAGCCTGTGCTGTGTCTGGGTCCCTTGCCCCTCGGACGCGCAGTTACCTGCGCCTAGCATACCTGGGGCTCTCAGACCCCTGGAGGGGCACCTCAGGGTGGCTCCACAGGTGTTGGACCCTTCTTTTCACATTCCCTCTTAATCTCAATAGTGGAATCCAGGTCTCCACCAGAGGTAAGCAGGGCAACCTGTGCCCACCATCCCAGGCCACCACTTCCAGAAACCAGATAGGATGGAATTTTCCAGGTTTTTATGTATTTATTTAAGATGTCCCAAAAGTTGGGAAGACAGACTGAGATATTAGTCCTGAGAGTTCCAGGCAGGCCTGGCTGTATCCTCTGATCTTGAGGCCAGTACTGACTCGGGAAGAAAGGAGAAGCCTTTGAAGTCAGGAAGCAAAGGAGCTGTGCTAGAGCCCCCAGGGTGGGGCAGGACGGGGCCCAGGCCTGTTGTCATCCTTGCTGTCTTCAGGACCCTCTGCTGCTTCTGCCCTGCCCCATCTGTGTTCCCTGCTTCATCAGGAAAACCCATACTAGGGTCACAGTGCTATCAGCCCCGGACATTGTTCACAGCTACCCCTGGAGGCTAATTTTACCTCCTGCATCTTATTCCCTTCCTCTCTCCTCTCCAGTCTCTAGCTCAGGCCATAACTCTCCCACTCCTCAGGCAATAAGAAGGGACCTCTCTATCCATTGCTACCTGGCAAACTGTTCTGCCAGTCTCTTCTAGTGATGCCCCTCCCCTGCCCAGTACCCTTCAACAGCTCCCCATAACCCTTCTGCTCTCTTCATCGTGCTCTCCCAATAACACAAGTCCCCATCTTGAACCTCCCTTCCCAGGCCCACACTCAGTTATTTCCTCATCCTCTGCAAACAGACATCCTAAGAGGAAGAACCCAAGGACCTCCTCCACCCCACCCAATCTTGTCCCACACTTCTTATCTCCCTCCCACTTACCCCTGAAAATCCACCTGGGCATTGTCCTCTATCACCCCTTCATCCTGACATCTGCAGCCAAGACATCATTCATCCACTGGGTGGGGCTTCCCAGGCCCTGCCCTTCCCAGTCTGCCATCTACTTCCCATCACTACCCATCTACTCGATGGGAAGTGATCCCCCAATCACCATTCTCACCTTTATCCTCAATGGAACCCTTGTCCCCCAGTGCATCCACCTCAAGCTGAGTGGAAGCCTTGGGGCAGCTACTCAAAATACCTGCTCTAGCAGCTCTGCTACTGTGTCACATTAGAGTGGGACAGTCCAGGCCCACAAGCCCTTCAGCTTCCGCAAGGGGCAGGTGGGAGATCTAGGCACCCTTCATGACCAAGCCCCCTAGACCCAGGTGCTTGTCTGCCTGTCTGCTAGGTAGCACACACTGCATATCTACTGTGCCAGCAGCTCAAGGGCCCTGCCAAGATGGTGTCATATGTGGGTCCCGAATGGCCACCAGGGGACACTGGAGCTCCAAGGTCCCCTGAACTTCACCTTTCTCAACCAGAAGCCTTGGAAACACAACTGTATGACCTGGGGCAGGGGGACTCAATTCCCTGCACCTCACTTTCCTAGTACTTGAAATAGGTGTCATGATGCTTGTGCTTTTGAGACTCATACTAAAAGGGGGCCGAGGTGAAGAAGAGGCTTGGGAAATGTCTGCTGAATCATTCACATCCCTCTGGCTACCAGTTCCATGGTTGCCTGGGAAACTGTCAAGAACAGGGAAGGAAGGTGAGCCTGGGTCAAGGAACCCGTGGTACAGATGGAGAAGGACTGGGGGCCCAGAGAATTAATGATGGCAAGCTCATTCTGGATCCTGACAGGCACCTGGCTGCACAGCTGCATAGCAGTGCCAGCTTGGCCAGAGACGACAGGCTCACCCTGAACAGGCTGAGCCGCTCCAGGAAGCTTAACTGCACTGAGATCAGCCAGATGCCAGTCCACTGCCAGGCAGCTGTCTGACAACAGCTCTGCCACCTGCAGATGCTGACCTGGTTATCCTCAGCTGAGGCTGAGAGAAAAGGTGAGGTCTCCTGGGGGCAGGTGGCACGTGTCAGTGGTGCCAAATGTCCCTATTCTGTCCCTCTCCTTCCCCACACAGTTCTACAGCTGCACTCCAAAGAAACCCCACTCTTCCAGGTCAACCCTAGCCCACCCTCACTTCAGGTTTCTGGTTCTGTACTGCAGTTGGTGCTGCCGAGTCATAGCTAAGACCTTAAAGACCTAGGCCAGGAGCCAAACACACAAAGGGAAGTGGGGTCACGCCCTCTGGTGGCCAGTGGTGGAAGCCTGCACACCTCACCTACTCACACCCCAGTAAACGGTGTGGGGGGTTACCCAGACACAATTTCAAATTCCTGGCTCAAGATGACCAATCCCAAGCCCAGGGAATCCCCAGCTATCATTCATTCCTTGATCGTGCACCTACTGTATGCTCTTGGTCAATACTCACTTGTTCATTGGTTCTTTTACCAGTCTTCCCCCACACTCACCTGTCCTGGAGACCCAGAAAGGAACCACATCTGGTCATCCTTGCCCCCTAAGAGGAGTCCTACTTTAAATGAGGGCCCATGTCTGGAAACCGTAACCCAGGATGAGGATGCACTGGCACAGAGGCCTTCGAATCCTGCCCATGTGTTCAAGGCAAGAGGAGTCTCCCTCTCAGTCTCTGCAGGGTCTCTCTAGTTTAAATAAGCACAGAAAAATTCACCCAGTATGCATCAGCAGCCTGGGCACCACATGGGATCTGGCCCATCGCCTGGGTCAGAATCTGCACTTTGAGTGACCAGTTCAATTTAGCCATGCATTTGAATCATCTGCCAGAGTCTGAAATAAAAACCCTTGCTCGGGCCTCATCTCAGACCAAATAAGTAAGAATCTCTGGGAGACTGTAAACTGCTCAAGCAATTCCAACAGGTGGCCAAACTGAGAATCAGGGCTCTGCACTCTTCTGGTGGGTGTTTTTTCCCTATCTACTGAGACCAGGTCACAGATTCCTAATGGACTGAGCTCTGTGGACGGGGCTTGCCCTATTCTGGGAAGGCGTCTACACCCTATGTGCCTTCATCCCCTTTTCAGGACTCCAAGGGGCCACACTGCCCTTAGTTTTTATTGTGTCCAGTCTTACGGTTCCTACTCTTTCCACTACCTTCAGTCACAGGGAATCTGGTGTGTCTTCACACCCCCTTCCTCCTTGGGGGCAAGATCTTTGACACCACTCACCCATCCACCCCCAAATTTCCATCCTACTTGAGTTCTCTGCCCTGGATACCTGCCCTAGCTTGTGGTGAATCTGTCACCCGAAAAGGGAAGTCCTGCTGAGAGTGGCGGAAGAAGTGTGGAAATGAGGAAGGCTAGTGAGGCAATAAGGGCAGGCAAATGTGGGCTCACCACCCCACTGCCCCCATGTCCTGGATCTCCCCACCTTCCTGGTGGCCTCCTAAGTCCCACAGCCAACTGTACCCCTCCACACCAAGATGTCCCCCTCCTGTGGCTCTCCAGTCCTGGCTGAATTTTGTCTTGGCCTGCCTCTTTGCAGGTAGGTCACCAAGGCCTGGAACTCAAGTCTTGAGATCAGGACACAAAAGTGGTATGAGTTAAGAGGGACAGAGGAGAATCAAGAAACTAGTGACAACTATTGACTGTGTTGGGGATATGCTGATGCCCAATGCATTAATTGCAAGAACACCAGCAGGCAAGACAGGAACTACCTCAAGGGAAGACAGAAGTGTCCTCAAAGGATCTGGGGACAGACCAGAGCCGTCTCCGCCTACTTTCCTTCCTCCTCTGTCTTCCCCACCCTCACAGCAGCCCCCACCTTGTGTGCTGGCCTGTAGAGCAGAAGCCACAGATACTTCCTGAAGGCAACAACCTCAGCTCAGAGCCCACCACCCTGTAGCTCATCATCAGCCTGCAACCATGGTGAGTCCCCAAGCCCCAGGACAGGCCCATACTGGCCTGGAAGCAAAATCATAGCAGGTAGAAATTGGAGTGGCAGAGTGGGGCTGGGAAATGGGAATGTCCCACACCAAGCCCCTAAGGTAGGAAGCAGTCAGGGCACAGCTCTAGGACACGGTTCAGGCTCCTGTGGCCCAGGCTTAAGTTGTAACTGCAGCGGGGATGAGTGGGACTGCCTGGGAAGACTCCCCTTTCCCTAGATCAACATGATCGGCAAGCAGGGAACATGAAGCCAGGATGAAGAGAGAAGCTTCCTATGGGGTGACTAAGTGGGTCACGAACTCTGGCCCCTGCCATTACCCAGTCACTCACGTTGTGACCTGCTCGATCATGACTTATCCAGCCTTGGGTTCACCTGGGAATCTTTGCCTCAACCCATCCAGGTTGGGAGTTTCAAAAGAGGAATTTCAGGGCCCAGGTAGGAATCATCATCTTTGCATGGGGAACTCATCCTGGACCTCTGGATGAGGAAAAAAGGCACAGGGAGAGGCAGGGGCCACATGCTTCCGCCCTTTCCTCCCCCAATCTCCTTGACCCCAAGTGAAGACAGGTTTGAGGGCCCAAGGCGGTGTCCCCTCAGAGGAGGCCTGGCGTTCTTGTCCATCTGTGGAAGTTGTCTGTGACCCATGGTTCAGGGTCAGCTTCAAGGACACCTGGAGACCATGTGGTACATGTGCCTAATGGGTGCCTGTGGGTGGGAGCCTACCTGCTCGTCCTCATGGAGGCTGTCAACTCTGAGACTCCTTCACAGGTAGTCCAGGTGTCAAGAGATTGTGAGCTAAGTACCTACATATGCCTCCAGATCTATGATGGTCAGACTGAGTATATGTCTGTCTCTGTGGCTCTGTGTAGTCTTTATGTCTGAAAATATTTACTGAACACTTACTATGTGCCAGGCACTGGGAGGTCAGCAATGAATAGGCCATAGGGGCTAGGGGAATTCAGTGTGTGTGAGCGCTTGCCCAGCATGTACCAGACCCTGGGTTCAATCCCCAACACCAAAACCAAACAACAACAAAACAACTACAACAACAACAACAAAAGCAACAACCCAGTCAAGGAATATTTTTTAAAACCAATGCAGTAGAATTAGTATGTGGTGGCAGATATGAACAGCCACACAGGCTGGGGATAATGGGGAGCACTAAAAGGGAGTCCTCCATAATTTAAAGAGATATTGGGTCAAGACTCGGAAAAGAGAAAGGAGACCCCAACATGATGGAGAGACATGTCCCAAATGAGGGGTGGGGCAGAGCTCCCAAGGTGGAAGGGAGAGGGAAGAGGCTGGGTCGTTCAGGGCCTTCAGGAGACCATTTGCTTTTCCTGGGATGATGAGTTATCATTGGGCAGTTTTTTGGCAGGTTTCCTCCAGCTGCTGTGGGGGAACTGAGTTAGGCTGGGGGCTACAGGCAGCAGACCAGGGAGGAGCCTGTTATAATAGTCTGGGAAGTTGGTGGGAAGGTTCCTCCCGCTAGGGTTTCAGCGGTGGAGGCAGTGAGAAGTGGCTGGAATCCGGATGTATTTTGAAATGAGAACAGAAAGGCCTGGGAGGACACGGGGAGGGGAGGGGAGGAGATGTGGAGGGAGGGGAGGTGAAGGGAGGGGGTCAAGGATGCTGACTGGGAGGCTGTTGGGGCCACTAGATGGGGAAGAGGCATCAGTAGCAGCTCCAGTCCTGCTGAGATCTAAGTGGTCAAGTCAGGAGGGTGTGGTTTTCAGGGACTAGGGTCAAGGGGGCAGTTCTTGGCCAAGAAAAGAAGTAGCCCAAGGGCTGGAGTCAAGAAGAGGGGGAGGCAAAACAGGAGAGGGAAGGGGATGGTGATGATGGGTTTGTCTGTGACTGACCATGTCCATGGGTACCCAGGTCTGTCTCTCCATTATGCTCTGTGTGTAAAAGCCCCTGCCTGACATTCCATGTCCCCTAGGGGAGCCATAAGGATTTCCGGAGCCTCCAAGCCAAGTTCCAGGCCTCTCAATCAGAGCCTAATGGACTTCCTAAAAAGCCCCCAAAGCCAGAGTTCAACAAACTCCTGAGTAAGTTTCCACATCCTGAGCTAAGTGAGCAGCCCCCAAAGCCCTTGCAGCCTGATGTCAGTGAAGCCCCTCAAAAGATCAGTACAGCGTCCTTGAGGCCTCCGCAGCCCCAATTTGCTGATCTCCCCAAGAAGCCCTTGAAGCCTGAGTTTACTCATCTCCCCAAGAAGCCCCAACAGCCGGAGTTCACTGATCTCCCCAAGAAACCCCAGCAAACTGAGTTTACTGATCTCCCCAATAAGGCCTCCAAACCTGAATTCACTGATCTCCCCAAGAAGTTCCCACAACTTGAGTCCACTCCATTTCTCAGGAAGCCCCTACAGCCCGAGGTCAGTGAGGCTCCTCAGAAGGTCTGGCAGTCAGAGCCCAGCACACTTGTCAAGAAGCCCCCACAACAAGAGCTCAGCAACCCCGCCAAGTCCCCTGCAGAACCCAATCTCAGCACATTCCCCAAGAAGCCCCCACAGCCTGAATTCAAATTCAGTGTGCACCCCAGGAAGCCCCAACAGCCTCAGGCTGGTAGCTTCCCAAGAAAGTCCCTACCACAACAGCCTGAATTCTCTGAAGTCCCTCAGTTGCTTCCCTCAAAGTCTGGGCCCAGTGAGCCCCAACTCCTTTCCCCAAAGCCTGACCTCAATACCTCACCAAAGAAGCCCCCACAGCCTCAGACTAGTGACCTCCATAAATTCTTGACACAGCCTGAGCTTAGAGAGGTCCTTCAAAAGACCCCCCTGGAGAAGTCTGAGCTCAGTGAACCCCATCCCCACTACCTGCAGCCAGGCCTCAGTGCATTTCCCAAGAAGCCCCCACAGCTTCAGCCAAGTGACCTCCCCAAGAAGGTCCTGCAGCCTGAATTCAGTGACCTTACCAGGACTTCCTCAGAACCTGAAGTATTTGTGCTTCCCAAGAAGCCAAGGCAGCTTGAGTTCAAAGCACTTTCCAAGATGACCCCAAAGGCAGAGCTGGGCAGTCTCCCCAGGACCTCCTCAGAACCAGAGTTCAGCTCATTGCCCAAGAAGTTTCAGCAGCCTGAGCGCCAAGGGCCACCTCGCAAGTTCTCCCAGCCTGAGCCCAACGATCTGCCCAAGAAGCACCTACAGCCTAAATTCTTCAGGGATCTTTCCAGAAAGCCCCCACTTTTGGGCTCAGTTTCTGAGAGCTCACTGCCCTCTGCCACCTTGGGCTCCAGCCCCCGGTACCCACTCAGCCCTGGATTTGGAGCCACTAGGGCACCCCGCTGGAGGTCAGAAGACTTCAAAGCTCACAACCCACCCCAGCGGAGGCCACTGCCCCCAGCCAGCATCCTGGGACCACCTCCAGCCAAACCCCCACTGCCCCCAGTCCCCATGGATATTCAGAGCTTTCGGAGATCCTCAGCAGCATCCACAGGTGAGTCAAGATGGGCTGCACAAATAGAAACGAGGGGGCTAAGGCTCCTGGGCAGTGCCATCTCCCTCCCATGCTCTCCCCCCACCCCCACTCCACAGCTCTGCGGAGGACTCGCTCATCCGCTGGGACCCACTTCCTGGCCCAACAACCTAAAGACTTCCCATGGTGAGTGAAGGGACGAAAGAGGGGGAGGCCAGGCACCCTTTATGGGCTGAAGGAGACCCTCATCTCAGGTATCCCTGTAGGGACCCGGACGAGACTTATGAGCTATATGACAACGTAGAGCCCACGGAGGACTCAGGCCCCAGCCCCAGCGGCAGAGGTTTGTTGGTGGTCTGCTCAGGGTCCTATAAAGCACTGGTTGCAAGGGCATCTTCTGCCATGTTCCTGGTATAAGGAACCAAAAGCAAGGGACCCCAGAGGCTCACGGTTGAGGAAAGGTAGGCAGCAGTGTAGCCCAGGGTGATAGCAGAAGGCATGTACAACAATGGAAGAATCCAGAGATCAAAGATGCAAATGGGACTTAACAAGTGTGAGTGAGCCGAACACATGGTTGGGTCCCAAGTATAAAGTAAGCCTAGTCTTCAGGTACACAGTGGAGCCAACCCAGGGTTAGGGACAAGTTGCTATGTTCCACATTAGACATGTGTTTGAGGTACCAAGGGATGTCTGAGCCTAGACTCAGGAGAGAGACGGAGTAGAGACAGGTATAGCAGTGGTGGGAAGGGAGGCCACTCTGCTCTAGATTCTAAAAGACCCTTCTTCCTGCTCCTGGAGGGCAGGGTCAAGCCCTAGTAGGCCTATGCCTCCAGGCTGCAGGAGTTTTGAGAGTTTGGCTGAGAGTGAAGTGGCAGCAGCCCTGACCAGACTCTCTTCCCATAGCCTAATCTAAGAACAGCCCCCAAAACCAGCAAGGACCTTCCCTGGCAACAGTAAGGGATTCCATGCAAGCACTCGGCTGATCCTGCAGCCCATACTCCCATCCTGCACCAAGGCAGTATCACCTCCCCCACCCCCTGCCATTTCACTGACAGTTTGAGGATCTGAAAGTTGCCCAAGCCACAGCCAATGTGGGAGCTTCAGTCAGACCCTCCTGCTCCACTCCACCATCTCTCAGGGAGGCTTTCTACAGGAAATCTGGCCTTGAGAGTGCTCCTGCTCTGCCCCCCAGCCAGAGGTTCTGGTTCAAAACGTAGCTGGCTGCCTCCTGAGTCCCTGACGCCTGCTCCTTCCTGGGCCCCCTTCTGCTTCTCCTGAGTGACCCCCAAGACCTGCTTTCAACACCTCCTTAGCACACAGCTTCCTGGCAAGGCCCCTTCTATTTCCGCTCCTGGGAGGATCTGTGGCTGCTGGGTAGAAGCCTGGCTGACACTGTGGTCTTGGCAAGGAGGTCAAGCCGAGTGCAAGTAGGGTGGGTGGGTACAATGCTGATGCCACTCGGAAGGCTGCGGGGGAGGGTGCAGACGGGCACTGCTGACCTGAAACACCCAATGACACAACAGGTCATTCAGAGAGGACAAGCTGTGGCCCCAGGTTCAGGCCTTTTACTCACCTGAGCTTCTGGAAGATCCTGCCATAAGACGTACCCCTGACCAGCAGGGCTTGTACCCCAAAGCCTGGTAAACCACTGCTGCCAAGTGGCATAAGTCAGACCTCACTCTGGGGTGACTCCTCCATGCAGTCTCCTCATCAGCCAGGCCAGCACAAGAAACTCACCTGGGTATCCCCTTCTCAGAGGTGGTATTTGCTTGCCTCTAGGAATGCTTGCCTTTGTTTACTTTTTGACCCAAATCTCATTACAATTCCCAACCTGTTCTAGGCAGCAAAAACAAAGTCACCCTAGAAGTCTATAATAAATCCCTCCTTTAACCACTTATGATCTGATGACCCTAGACAGAACCAACACACAGTAGTCTCACTCAAGATGGAGCCACTGGAGTAGGCTGAGCTAGGGGTCTGTGATTTGACTTGGTGTTTTGACTGCCCCCAGATGAAGTGCTGTGTGCTCAGCAAGCCACCAGGAGGCACTCACAGGACCCAGAGCTCAGGTACTCCAGGGCAAAGGGGTGGGATAAAGGTGAGGTTGAATTAACAGAAGCATGAAAGTAGAACCCATCTTGCTCATGAGCACCCCAATTCTTGGGGGGATGAGGAAGGAGAAGGCCCCACAGACACAGCAGTTGCCACCTACGGATCCAAAGCTGCTAAAGCAGATCAGGAAAGCAGAGAAAGCTGAGAGGGAGTTCCGGAAGAAGTTCAAGGTAGGGACACAAGAGTCTGGGAGGGCTGGGACCAGATCCCCGGAGTCCCATCCTCAGAAAGAAGACGGGGTATATGTGGGGTGACCGCATGAGCAAAAGCTCTAATATCTTGTCCCCAAGTTTGAAGGGGAGATTGTGGTTCACACAAGGATGATGATTGACCCCAATGCCAAGACCCGTCGTGGAGGTGGCAAACATCTGGGAATCCGGCGTGGAGAAATTCTGGAGGTGATCGAGTTCACCAGCAAGGAGGAGATGCTGTGTCGGGACCCCAAGGGCAAGTGTAAGTGAACCTAGCCCCAAAACCCTGGGGAGGGAGGACACCTCAGACTGAGAACCCACCATGTCTACTTTCTTCACAGATGGCTATGTGCCCAGAACAGCTCTTCTGCCACTGTGAGTGCTGACCCTGCTGGGGTCTGGGAATGGGTGGGGGGCCAGGGTCTCCCAGCTGACATTTGTGCTCTCTACCAGGGAAACAGAGGTGTATGATGACGTCAGCTTCTGGGGTATGTAGATGCTGCAGGATGGGTTGGAAGGGACCAGACTGACAGCTGGTGGACCACTTGTTTAATGCCTCTATGGAGAGGGGTCACTGGAAGTCACCCCTCCTTGCAGACCCTTTGGAGAGTCAACCATTTCCCCAAGGACAGTAGGGCCCTCAGGTGAGGCCCAGAACAGCCTGCCAGCCCAGCTACCCACTAACCCAGGAGCCTGGATTCCAGTTTGACAGACAGAGCTGCCCAGATGCATGTGTGACCACATAAAGCCTCTCTTTAAAGCTTCCCTGCTTCTTGTATTTTCTTTTCCGTCCTGACTGGCACACACACAAGGAAACGTACGTGTGTGTGTGTGTGTGTGTGTGTGTCTCCCCCTTCTTCTCTCTGTGGGAGGTCTCACCACCAAATCCTGATCTCACTCCTCAGCTGCCTGCCACAGGAATGGGGAGGGAGCTGGGGAACAAGGTGTACACTGCACTTAATGCCACTCCACACCCCAAAAGGGCAAGTAGCAGATGGAGTCCCTCACGTGCTGCAAATACCTGTTTTACCAAGTAGGTCTATGAAAGCACTTCACTGACAGGGGCTCCCAACTCTGAAAGACCCTGGAGGGAGCATCCGTTCTTGGAAACTGGCACATTCTCCTCCCTGTCGGTTTTATTAAAGTCAAACTGGAAATGAGCCTGACACCATCTCTGTCTCACAGGATAGGCACAAGAAGAGACAGGACAGCTTTCAGAATTGCTCTTATTATCAGCAGCAGTGAACAAAAGATCCCTCAAAATTCAGTTTCCACAGAAGAGTTTTTCTGTGGAAAACAATTGGCCAGGGCCCTTCCCACCCAAGGAACAGATGAGCAATAGCAAAGGTGAGATTCCTGGTGATCATGGGTCAAAGGAAAGAAGGAAGCATAAGGGGCTCCAGGCCACCAAATTTCAGATGGTTGTCCCCACAACACACACGCAAAAGCAAGCCACTTTCAGGAACTGGTATTTATTATCAAAGTCATATTCGATGTCAACAAGATGCCACAACTACAAAAAAAATTGCGCACATTGCAATCTCAATGCAAACAGTCAAATGGAACCCCAGTCATTAAAAAAGTAATTCAAATTACCCCAAAAAGCAACTGAATTTTTTAAACATCTTTATACATCCAGCCAACAAATTAAAATGGTTAACAAGAAAAAATACAAATTCAGAGGTCTGGTATTGATGTTTAAAAAAGGCAACTGCTTAAGCATTTCTATCGATTCGAACATCAATCTCTCGGCCACTCAGCTTCATGCCATTCATCATCCGGCAGGCTCTCTCAGCCACCTCTGGCGACTCAAACTTAACCACACCGCACCCCTTGGACTTTCCGTTCTCCATCTTGATGTCGGCGTACAGCACGTGGCCTGGCACAGGGAGGGAAGAAGAGACCACACGCATCAGGCAAACCCAGAGCTCAGCCTCAATCTGGGCTCCACTCAGTCCAGATCACCTGTTGGATTTTGGTGACAGAGTCAAAAAGGAAAGAGGCCCTCATGTGTGGAGCACAAATGCTCAGAACACCACGGCCAGAGTCAGTGACAAATGTCCTTTGGCCATGTTGCCATTGTTCTGCTATCAGGACAATTTGATCCAGCACCATGAAAAGCGTTCCTGGGGGTTTAAAGTGCTTGCCTTTTAAGTTCAGAAATAGGAGGAGTCCTGTGAAGCCAACTTGAGAGGAAAATTTTAGAGGCTGTTTTCAATATATCACTACCCTCAGTCACAAAGCCATCATCAATACAATAGATACTTCTAACTGTCCAAATGTAAGCTATATAATAATTAGCGAGCAGATTACACATATTCCTTCAAACACCTATTAAGCACCCCAGGTATGTGTCGAGCACCATGGAAATAGATACAGAGGGTTAAGAGCCCAGAGGCCAAGGCCCACTCCAATGAGGACCAAGGAGATAGCACATTATGGTCAGTGCTAGGGGCCGACAATTTTAAAGCCACCAAATCCACCTGGGGGAAGGAAAACATCCCAGGGAGCTTCTCACAGTAAAGTTCTAAAAGAGTTTTAAGTGGCCAGGTGTGGCATTTGTTTGCACACCTGTAATCCTAGCAGCTCTGGAGGCTGAGGCAGGAGGATCATGAGTTCAAAGCCAGCTTTGGCTATTTAGCAAGGCCCTAAGCAACTCAGTGAGACCCTATCTCTAAATAAAATATAAAAAAGTGCTGGGGGGGCTGGGGTTGTAGCTCAGTGGCAGAGTGCTTGCCTCACACAAGTGAGGCACTGGGTTTGATCCTCAGTACCACATAAAAATGAAAAAATAAAGATATTGTGTCCATGTATAACTAAAAAAATAAAAAGGGCTGAGGATATAGCTCAGTGGTTGAGTGCCCCGGTACCATAAAAAAAAAAAGTGTTTCAGTGAAAATTCACCAGAAGACAGATTCTGGCCTGTAACAGCTCACACCAGAGCACTTCAGGAGGCAGAGTATTTGTAAGCTCAGGTTCAAGGACAGCAGTGAGATGAAGGTAGGTGCTGGGATCAAGTCCTCCAGGGGCTGGTAAGTATTTTTACTAAGAGGTGAGGGGAGTGGCATGATCCAATCTGATTTCTTGAAGTATCTAGATACAGCGTGGAAAAATGCAAAGCAGGGATGGGGGTGGGGTGGGGGGTGGGACAAGAAAGTAGGCTCTGACTCAACTGCTTACCCCAAAGAACCAGAGAGAAGCAGCAATAATGGTGAGTCGTGACCCACTGCTGAAACCAGAGATGAGAAAAACAAAACAGGCCCTGATCCAGCAGCCATCGAACTTGTGGCTTAAGGCTGACCTAGTTTAAAGGACAGGGGTGGGTAGTGGATGGAGGCCGGGGCTCACCCCAAAGAGCAAACTATGAAGATAACTTCTTTCAGCCACAAAGGGGGCCTTCTAGAAGGGTCATCTTGTATGCTAGGAAATTTCCACTAGAGACTTACTGCCACACAAGATGCTAAGTGCCTAGATCTTGCAAGCCTGACCCATGGCACCTACTGAGCACACAAGCGCTTGCTGACACACCAAACCAGCTGTGCTGTGAGAGAAAGCAACCTTGTCTTGGGTGTATTTTATTTAATTTTATCTCTTACAAGTCATGCCACCTTAGAAGGTAGCTTTACCTGACTCATCTGTAAAAAGGGGAAAATACTAGAACCTTTCAAATACTCTAAATGTTAGCAAAAAAGAAAAAGAAAAGCTAAGGGTTGGGAATATAGCTCAGTTGATAGAGTGCTTGCCTCACATGCCCAAGGCCCTGGGTTCAATCCCCAGCAAGAGACAGACAGAGAGGGAGAGGGAAAGAGAGAGACAGGCAGACAAACACATACCAGGACACTCAATACATGCTTGGGTATCTGCAAAAGCAGAACAATGGCAAGACCCATCAGTCCTCTAGAGCTGATGAGCAGTGGCTGTACAGACTAGAAGGAAGCTATGCTGCTCACATAACAGCACCACTAATAGCCATGGTACAGGAAAGCACCTAGAGAGCCTTTCTCAGACACTTACCACATTCGTTGAATTTGTCCTTTAGCATCTTCCATGTAAAATCAAATGGGAGCTGAGGGGGAAAAAAAAGGTAGACTAATGTGTGATTCAACCAAATCCTAATGCACAAACATCACAATCATCTATGAGGGTTCCTGGGACAAAGGATGCAGCTCAGTGGTAAAGCACTTGCATCACTGGGGAGGAGGCTCCTATATATACATAGAGAAGCTGGCCAAACTCCACACTGATATTGATCAGCAGAGAACAAATAAGTCTATCTAGAATGAGGTTCTGAAGTAGGGCAGCCAGCTCACTCCCTGTGGCCTTATCTCTAGTGTCTGGGAACATCATGCAGGGAGCAGAACATACAGAGCCTGGTGTAAGCAGATTACAGAACTCAACAGTGGCTAAAGGTGGTCAAATTGTTACAAATACTTCAATATATAGCCACCTCTCTCTGAATCACTATACCAAAACACGGGTGCTCCTCAAGCCAAGGGATCAGAACTAAAATCTTTCAGCTCATTGTCTGCTTGGTCAACAGACACATCAGGAAGCCCAGGCAATTGCAGAACCACTGTTCCTTTGTAAGCCTTCACAATGAATTAGCACCAGACTCTGGGGACAAGAGTAAGGTGTGCTCTCCATGCTGTCCATTGTCTCTTCAGAGGAACACCCGTTACCCTGAGCCCACAAGTCGTCAGTTCACTGAGATCATCCCCTGTGTATAACACCAAAGAGTTCCTGAAGAGCCACTTACATTTCTCACAAATATCTGGCAGGCCTTTCTGGCCACCCCAGGAGCATGGCCTCCAGCTCCGCCAAAGGAACCTGCGAAGCTTCCTCCAAAGTTGCCACGTTCCATCTCAATGGCACGATCGAAGCTGGCACCACCGCCACCACCCATGGCAAGGCCCATGCGCTCAATGCCAGCGCCCAGGGCCGGGCCCATCGCTGGGCCCATGCGCTCCAGACTGTTGGCGCCCATTCTCTCCAGGCCCATGCGCTCTAGACTGTTGGCTCCCATGCGCTCCAGGCCCATACGCTCCAGGTTGTTGGCGCCCATTCGCTCCAGGCCAGTGGCCATGCGATCCATCACAGGGCCCATGCGCTCCAGGCCGGCCCCCATACCTGCGGGCACCATGCGCTCCATGCTCAGGCCCATGCGCTCGATGGCAGGGCCCATTCGCTCTACGCCAGAGCCCATGCGCTCAATTGTTTGGCCCACACGGTCGATGGGCGCGGCCATGCGCTCCAGGCCGAAACCCATGCCGGCACCCATGCGCTCGACACCAGAGCCAATGCGCTCCATGGTCTGGCCCATGCGCTCGATGCTGGAGGCCATGTGGTCGAGGCCCAGTGGGCCCATACGCTCGATGCCAGAGCCCATGCGCTCAACGGAGCCCATGCGGTCCATGACCAGGCCCATGCGCTCGATTTCGGAGCCCACTCGATCCATGCCATGGCCCAGGCCTGCGCCCATGCGCTCCATGCCAGCACCCCCAATGCGGTCAATGCCAGGGCCCATCCTTTCGATCCCAGGGACGCTGCCTCCACCTCCACCTTAAACAGGGACACAAAACACAGGAGATGTCAGGTATCTGTGTGTACACCATGCCACGCCTGGGCACTTCAGTTCACAAGCTTACCCACAGATTAGCAATTTAGCCCCACAGTGATTTAACATTAAAAGACCCCTCAAATCGTAACAGTTACTAAAACTAAGTAATAGGTAATGTGGGGTCCTTATAATCATTCTTCCTGTCCTG